CAACCTGAGACGCGCAGGGACGGAAAAACTTCTCGTGGCCGAGGGTGCTGGACGGGTCAGAGCCAGGGGGTCACTGGCCAGGAGGGTCAGTCTGGCCTCTTGGCTGCAAGGGGTTGTCCCGGGAGAAGGAAGCAGAGCCAGCCGGGGGTGTGGCGCTGTCCACGGTGCTGAAGGGACCCGCCGCTCCTCTGTCCTAAAGGAAGACACAGAGAGTCCAAGAGAACCCCTGGTGGGACGCACAGAGCCTGTCGGAGGCAAAGCCAGGACCCAGGGCAGCGCTCACCCACCCACCGCGTGCCTCGCAGGAGGCAGGAGACCCTGAACTGGGGCAGTGGCTGATCTAAGAGGGGTGACCACGGTGGGAAGTCCAAACAAACATCGTCCCCTGGAGATCCCACAGACCCACACATCTTGTTGTCACTGGGATGCTGGGCTAGCTACCTGCTGTCAGCTCAGAGACCACGGCCACTTGACATTAGAGTTGTGCAGGCCTGGGGGGAAAGCGAGCCTCCAGGAACAGCGGCAGAGCTTCCTGGCTTTCCCCCAGCAGCCACCAGCACTCTTTGTCTTCCGGGCCGTGCCCCCTCCTCCCTCGGTCAGCTGGGCTGACTGTCGCGAACTCCGCCGCGGTGGCGGGGGCTATTTCCGGAGGGTGCTGACCCTCATCTCCTCACCAGCGTGCGGTGGGGCTCCTGATCTAAAGCACCCACTTCGCTCCAGGGCTGTTGGGTGAGGGGAGCGTGCGGCAACACTCTTTCTCAGCTATTATTGGCAACAAAGAACTAGTTATTTGCTTTTTCTTCCTCCTTTCACCTCCCGGAGCCTTTTCCCTTGCCAAAGTGGCTGAACCAGAATCTGCGAGGACAGGCTTTTATCTCCGGCGGCTGAGTGCTGCTTTTGTTTCTGAAACGAATCCCCAATGGCCTACGTTGTCCGTCGCCCGTGTCCGTGAACCTGCTTCCTTCCTTCCTAACCTGGGCATTTGGATTTCTTTCTCTCTTTTTAAGTTTGCTTTTGCATATTCATGGTCTAGTATCAAAAATAAGCCCCCTGGTCCTTTATTTTGTTTGGATGAGGGCTGCTTCCCCAGTAACAGGGGCACGGAGGGTATAAACACGTGTTTAAAGTGGAAACAATGCATCACTGCCCCCTCTGTAACTTGAGCCCTCCTGGAAGGCTGGCGCTCTCCCTTCCCAGGGATTCCTGCTTCTCGGGAGCAGGCGCTGGGAGGGATCTGGAGGGTACACGTGGCTGTGTTTTGGGGGACAGGGTGGAAACATCTCTGGGTGACAGGTGTATTGTGCGTGTGTGTGTGCACAGGCGCAGAGGGCCTGGAATTTTGACCGTGGGCGTGTGTGATTTGTGTGGGCCGAGGGATCTGGGCCAGTGAACGGAATCTGCATTTGAGGGGGGAGGCCTGGTGTGTGAGATGACTCACATCTCTCAGGCTGTGGGAGGGTTTATTTGTGGGGGGAATGCTGGTCCGAGGGGTCCTGCAGACATGGCTGCAGGAGGAAATATTTACCTGTCTGGCCAAGCTCAGGAGTCCAGCGCGTGCAGAAGGGGACGCACGCACCCGGGCGGGAGGGAGGAGACACCTGGGAGCGCACCTGTGCCTCTGCCGACAACTCCAGGCTGCTGCACCCAGAGGGGAAGTGGGGTGCGGAGGAAGAGGAAGGAATGAGGAGGCAGTTTTGCACAAGGGAGTTTGACAACGTGTTCCACACAAAAGCAGGGGTTCTGGAATCACTGTCCTGAGCGCAAATCTTGGTGCTGCCCAACACCCACCAACCCAGCCGTCTGCCCTCTCTGAGCCTCCGCTGCCCAGTGTGGGACACGGGGGAACAAGGAAACCAACCCCGCAGAGGAATTAAAGGCTAGAATGCATGCAAACACTTGCCCCACGCCCGGCACGCGTTCAGCATTTAATGTTGCAATTTAGCATCATTATGACCGCGACCACACCTGGCTATTGGTTCAGCAAGGACCATGATAAGTGGCATTCACTCCAGGTGTCACGTGAGAACAGAAGAGCGATACGTGGCCACGAGAGCTTACTGTAAGCCCAGCACAGCCGTGCACACGCCTCAGTCAATCCCCACTTACTTTACAGATATTATCAGCCCTTCCTACGCACTGAGAGACAAAAGCTCAGAGATGTTAAGGAACTCGCCCAAGGTCACACAGCAGAACAGTTGCAACTACAGCATGTGCTCCTCCCGCCCCGCACCCCCAGGGCCTCGCCATCTCCGAGGGGTCCCCCGGCAGACCGACCAACTGTGGAAATCACTTGGCTCACTTCGGTAGAAAACGCCTTCCTTGCACTTGGGGGAGGATGAACCCGGAGGAGGAGGGGTTGGCAGAAGGGGCCCCAGTTGAAATGGAGTCCATACCAATTCCAGCCAAATGTAGGATACATTTGCCGTTTGTGCATTATTCATGAAAATCGCTGTTTCCCAAAGTCAGCACTGGGAGCTGGGCTGGAGTTCAGGAGCTGTGCTGATGCCTGCCTGATCTTCCCATCCCTCGTGCAAAGGAAAAGTCGGACTGGAGTCAGGACCACGAACTCATTAAGGCTCCGCCTGCCCTTCCTGGGCATGAGGTGCCACGCCCACCCGCCGACTGGGGAGAAGGCATCCAGACCCACACCGCAACACCCCCCTTGGGTTCTGCTTGCCTGATGCACTGCTGGAGGGCAAGTCACTTCCTTCCTGGTGAGAAGCACAGGCCATGCTGCAGAAAGGTGGCCCCAGATGTCTGGTCCGATTATCCCAATTTTCCGTCATGCCATGTCGCCAACCAAAAGGGAGCAGTCAGCCCGGGCACCCTGCTACCTGGTCGGCCTACAGGTGGTGTGATGTGGGAAATGGGGGCTCCATTCAGGACAAACCAATGTTCCCACCATGACTCTGCCACTACAGGCTGGGGACTCTGGCCTCATCTGCACACTGGACCTGACCCCCGCCCCCACCAGGGGAGGACCTAAGTGAGGAGCTTTAGGGAGCAAAACCCTATGCAGCCACTTGGATGGGAGACAGAGACCCAAGAACACTGATCCACTTCAGGAAGCATCAGACCCTAAACTCATGGGGCAACTACCGAATCAGAGCCTCTCTTCCCCCAGGGAGCACAAAGGAAATTACTACCCTTCCCTCTGAAATGAAACTGAGGACCAGGACTTTTGTCTGCTCTGCTCACCGCTGGTTTCCAGAGCCCAGAGCACCTGCCTATAGCAGTATCTGTTGAATGAAGGATGGATTTCTGCAGGCCGCCCAAGATGTCTGGGGAAGGTGGGCAGCCTGGAGGGCTAGCTCGCACTCTTAGCTATTCTGGGGAGTTCCACAGAGACAGGGCCTGGCTCCTCCCTCCTCAGGCTCCCACAGGAGGCCACAAAGCTGCTTTCCTGGCTCAGGCACAGCTGGGAGCACCTCTGGAGAGACAGATCCTCAGAGTAGCACGGCCAGAGCCCCCAGGGTGACAACTACCCCTAGGCTCCCACAGAGCCCAGCTGGGAGCGCCGGGCTGCAGAGCCGCCCACCTCAGCCACCCACATCTGCTGCCTTAGCCTCGCGGCGCGCGCGCACACACTCTTGCACGCACACACGGCCTGAAACCCAGAGAGGGCTGTCTGCTCGGTCCAGCCCCTGCGCCCCAGGGTCACGGACGCTCTCCAACCTGCTCCATGAAAACAAGAGCACAGAAGAGGCCGCCTGGGACAAGGCTGGGCACGGCTTTGACAGGCAGGAGCATTATATAATTAACTGCCCCCCCACGCCTCCTCCCCTTTGAGTAGTAATGAACCCTGCCTCTCGGTTGCATAAGCCAAAATAATAATTACTCTCCAGCCCTCCGTCAGTCCTGAATGTGGCCAGGGAGCAGGTGTTTGGTGCCTGCTTCATGAGACGCTAAGGCAGCAGGCAGGGAGAAGACCACATATACGTTCACGATTTCCATGCCCAGCAGAAGCACACGAGTCAGTTCCGTGCCCCACGCCTTCCCTAGGCATCCATGCCTGAGAAATTACCCAGAGGGAGGCATGGAGCCACTCTGGGGATAAGCTCCCAGATGGGGGAAGGGGGCATCTGGAGAGCCGGCTTGTTTGGGGTCTAGCTTCCAGGAACAGTAAACACTCCATGCCTCGGAGAGGCAGGGAGGAGTGGACACTGGAGTGTCCGGGACAAGGGAGAAGCTGCAAAGCTGGCCAGGGCTCTGTGCACAGAAACCATCTTGCAGCCAGGCTCAGCCCTGGATGTGGTGGCATGCTGGATTGAAGGCACAGAGCATTCCCTAAACTACCGTGAAAATGATTCAGCCACTGGAAGGCAAGATTCCTGGGCTCTCGCTAAACAGATGGGCCTCCCCCTCCCTCCCTCCAGCAGCCTCTCTGGCTGTGCTAGCCCGCGTCCAACCACCTAGAAGTTTATTGCCGCGTTGTGTTGCTCTGGGTTTGTGTCCCTCTCCCAATCGCTCCCTTTCCATTGGCTTGGGTTGATCAGGACTAAGGGAGGCCTTTCAGCACGGCAGGAAAACAAGGAACAGAGCTGGGGCCTGACTCCTGGCGGCCTGGCACCACGGAGCTCTACCAACAAGGGCAAGGGGCCTTCTCCCTGCTCCCCTCTGCCCTTGGTGGGTCCCAGATGAGGCCCTGGGCCCAGGGCCCAGTCTGGCCTTTCCAGCAGGTCTCTGGCCTGCGCTGGGCTCATGCACTAACAGTCTCTGGGCTCAGCCCCGCGGTTCTGGGCCTGGTTCTGCTCCTGGAAAGCCCCAACACCCTTCAGCTGGTACGGGGGTGCTGTCCCCCACCACGCAGTGGGGCAACCTGTAGCCAGGGCAACTATGGCCTCCAGGAAGCCCCAGGAAATGCTCCAGGTGCACAGGGCCCCACTGGAGGGAGGAGCTCAACTTCCCCAGAGGTAAACAGAAGAGGCAAGAGAAGACGGTCCCTCCGCCCGCGCAGCCCCCCGCCCCGGCCCCCCCACCCCCACCCCCGTGGCACCTACCTCCATCTGAGTACGTCTCCGTGCCGTAGCCGTCCTGCAGCCCGTTGCTCCAGGTGCCTTCGTACTTGGCCCCGTTGCCCGTGCACTCCCGCACCCCGTAGCGCCCCTTAAATCCGTGCGTCCACTCGCCCTTGTACACCCACTTCCCCTTGCTCTCCAGGCCGATGCCGTGGCGCTTGCCCTGCGCCCAAGTGCCCTGGTACGTGTTGCCGCTGGGCCAGGTGTAGACGCCCAGTACCTCGAAGCCGTGGCTCCACGAGCCGGTGTATTCGCCTTGGCCCTTGGGGCCGGTGCAGACGCCATGGCCGTGCGCCTTGCCGTCCTCCCAGCCTCCACAGTAGGACCCTCCATCGTCAAAATTAAACCTACCCCCACTGGACATGCATGTAACTCGGTTTGCAAATCCCGCAAACGGTGAAAAAAAAAAAAACAAACCCCAAGGCGATCAACAAACCGGGTTCTTGGTTGGCTGGCTGGCTGGTTTTGTTTTGCCTTTTTTTTTTTTTTTTTTAAGGAAGAATGGAGAAAGCGAAAAGCACGGCGAGCGGGTCCCGGGCGGCGGCGGCCGCGGCGCCGGCTCCGGCGGAATCTAAGTCAATCGGGGGCGATTATTCCTTCCCGAGCTGCGCCGCGGAGCCTGACCAGCGTCTCGCGCTCCCGCTGGAGACAGGACCGGAGGGGAGGAGGGAGGGGGAGGGGGGGGG